CCTCGCAAGCGTAACGCCAGTCAAACCCAAGTCGAGGGGCTGGGGATGTAGCTCAGCAGCACAGCGCCTGCCTGGCAAGCGCAAGGTGGTGAGTTCGATTCCCAGTAAGGAGGGGGGGGGGGGACACACCCAATTTGAGGAACAGTTCCCATTACCAATTTCTACAGTATGTTGCAACTAAATGTAACACAATCATTTACTGGAGGAAGAAAACAATCTTTGAAGGACACTTCTGTTGTTAAAAATGGTAAAATAATGAAATGGGGCGGCAATTGGATAACGGCACTCCATCAAATGTGAAAGCTATACTGTGAGATTATCTCTGATCTTAGAAAACAAATGCTCAAGTGTTAAGGGGGAGAGAATAATACCCTCAACCTACTGTTGCAAGGGTTAGATGTGGCCGGGACTATAGCTCCACGGAATCGCGCCTGCCTGGCAAGCATGAACAAGGTCCCAAGTTCAATGCCCACTACCAAAAAAAGCAAGGATTAGAAAAAAATGTTTACATCAAAAATAGAGCAATGAGACAAAATGTTAAAAAAGGAAGGCCAAGGCAGGAGGATCACCATGAATTTTTGCTTTTTGTGACAGGTCTCACTATGTAGTCCAGGCTGCCCTGAACTCACTGTAATACTCCTGCCTCAGCCTCCCAAGTGCTGGGATTACAAATGTATGCTTCCACACCCAGCTAAAAAGTTTTCAAAATAAAAAAGGAAAAGCCTGGGATTGGTGGCACACACCTGTAATCCTAGCACTCGGGAGGCTGAAGCAGAAGGATTGTTTTGAGTTGAGACCAGCCTGGGTACAAAGTGAGCTCAAAGCCAGTCTGAACTACACAGTGAGACGCTGTCTCAAAAAGGAAAAAAAAAAAAAAAAAACCTTTCCTTCCCTTACTTTGAAAGGTGTCATTCTCAAAGGTAAGCCTTTCAATTATGTTTCAAAAGCTTTCAGGAAGTACTAAATTTCCCCAGTGAAACACCCTTTCTTCATGACAAAGCGGTCATTTCCATCCTCCCCAAAGTGCTGGCAGGAAAGGGTGGGAGCCCCCTCCTCCCCACCCTGACAAGTGCTCTCCATTCCCTAACAAAGCACCCCCTCCCTCCTTAAAGGGCAGGTCACCGTGGGAGTACTGCGTGGGAGTGCTGTGGTTATTTTCAAAGCCCTGCACAGGGCTGAAGGTTCAGCCGGCCCCAGGGGATGCTCACACACCCCTGCTAAGTGACCACAAGAGCTCCTGCCACATTCATCCTAGTTCTGCCCCTAAGATCTACTTCGTAATGCAAGTTCATCACTACACAGCACTTATGGTACGTCAGGCATTATTCTCAATCTGAGTGGGCATTTCACGAAATTGGTTCAACCATAACAGAACCCTATTAGTAAGCACTGGAGACGGAACCCAGGGCCTCCGCACCCTGAGCACCCGCTCCACCTCTGACCCACACCCTCAGCTTTGTCTTTAGACACACACTAGTATGCTGCCCAACCTGGCCTTGAACTCAGCGTCCTGCGCAGTTTGGACTACAAGGCGCACCCCATGCTCAACTTGCAACCTCGGTCAAAGCTGAAGAAAGTAGAGGACTAAGACACCCTCCTGGAGCCACACAGCTGCATACACAGCCAGTCTCCTCAAAGCAGGTTATTTTTGTTTTTTGCTTTTTGAGATAGGGTCTCACTATCTGGCCTTGAACCCACCGTGATCCTCCTGCCTCAGCCTCCTCCTGAATGCTGGGGTTACAGGCGTGTGCCACCATGCCTGGCCAAAGTCAGGTTCCTTTTTTTTTTTTTTTTTTAATCTTTTTGAGGCAGCGTCTCACTATGGAGATCAGGCTGGCCTTGAACTCACTTTGTAGCCCAGGCTGGCCTCAAACTCACAGCAATCCTCCTGCCTCAGCCTCCAGAGTGCTGGGATTACAAGTATGTGCCACCATCCCCGGCCAAAGTCAGGTTCTAAACTCCGCTCTCCCCTCAGGCCATCAAATTCAATTTTCTCCTCCACCTCCACCTTTCACTAATAGTTCACATGCTCTGCCCTGAATCCTGTGTCCAACGGAGGTAAACTAACTTTAGAATTCGGCACTTTCCAGGTTTCAAAATAATAAACACCAGTGTCAGGCATGGTGCTGCACAACTATAACTAGAGCACTCCATGGGCCGATGAGGCAGGAGGATCCCAGCCAGAAGTTCAGGCTGGGAAACCTAGCACATTGGTGAGGGCCTGTCTGGAAATAAAAAGCCCAATAGATGGAGATGCAGCTCAGTGCTGAGGTCTTGGGTTCAATCCTCAGGGCCAAAAACAGAGAAAACAAGGAGAGGAAGGAAGAGGGAGAGGGGGAGAAAAGAAAGGAGAGGATGCCGGGCGTGGTAGTACACACCTGTAATCCCAGCACTAGGAAGGCTGAGGCAGGAGGCTCTCAGGAGATCAAGGGCCACATGGACGACAGAGCAAGTTTAAAGCCAGCCTGAGGGACACAGTGAGACACTTCTCTAAATAAATATAGATTCACTTTTTATAAAGGTGATGACTGAATTTATGTCACTGTTCCTATTTTCACCCAAAACAATTCAGTCTTTAAAACTCTTGTGCATTACCTAGTACTTTCCGCACACTGATTTGTGCTCAAAAGCTCCAAGCTGACAATTTGTACTTCTTAAGAAACGAGTGGACGTCACACTGCTAGCATCCAGCCAGCCAAGGCAAAACACAATGTTATTCAAGAGCCAGGACCACACAGAAAAAAGAAACCACTGCACACAGCAGCACACCACATAATCCCAGGACTCAGAAGGCTGAGGCAGGAGGACAGCTGTGAGCTCAAAGCCAGACTCAACTATGTATAAAGCAAGATAAGGTCTTGGAAAAGAAAAAGAAACCCAATTTCCAAAATGTCCAGGGTTCACCAAGTTAAGGTGAAAAGCAATGAGTATTTTTAGGTCAAACAGCTGCAGTGTGGGTATGCCCTATCGAAGCAGGGCATGGCAGTACGCGGCTGCAATCCCAGCGCTCAGAGGCTGAGGCAGGGGGTCTCGGTTCAAGTTCAGTGTGCACTACTACAGGCTACTACAGGAGTTAAAAGCCAGTGTGCACTCCGTAACAAGACCCTGTCTTGTATGTGGAGAGAATGTACAGAGAAATTAAATTATTTTAATACATAAAACACATAAGGCCCTACTCAGGAGGCTGAGACAGGAGAATCACGGCAAGATGAAGGCCAGCTTGTGCTTGAGTGAGTTCAAGTCCAGCCTGAACATGTGGCAAGATCCTGTATCTCAGAAAACAAAACAAAAGTAAAATGAAGAAACATACAGTAACTCTTATTATATAAGGTAAAGCAAAAAATAAAGCTTGGCAAACTTCTAAAATGGTAGAAATAAAGAAGTGAAATTAAGTATTATAGAAGCAATGAGTTTCAAACACCCTCTCACCAGGCTTGGTTGCACACACCTACAGATCCTAGCTCTCTGGGGGCAGAGGCAAGAGGGTCAGTGCGAGCTCAAGACCAGGCTGGGCTACATAGTGAGTTCAAGGCCAGCCTGAACAAGGCACCGAGACCCTGTCTCAAAAAACAAAAAATAAGAGCCCTGAAACGGTCTCACAATAAGGCCACTATATAATTTGTTCAAGGAGAAAGAGAAGAAAATTATGGACTACTGAAATGTACAGTAGGCACCCGAATCTAAGAGTCCATTTGGAAGCTTAATTACGGTTTGCACAACAAGGATCTGGATGTGCCACCCAAGTCGCACATCCAGCAAGCATGACTGAGTTTATAATCATGTCCCACCCTAAGTCAACCAGGAACTTCTTTGTTTTGTTTTGTTTGTTTTTTGAAATACTCTATGTAGTTCAGGTTGGCCTGGACCTCAAGAGTGATCCTCCTGCCTCAGCCTCCCATTTGCTAGGACCACCGGTGTGCACTACCATGTCCACCTAACCAGTAACTTCAAACAGGGCAAAAAAGCTGTTCTGTTCATTGAGCAGAACTTACCCCTCCCCAAACACTGTTATCTCCAAAACAGCCCAGGACTCATATACATCAGAATTACCTTGCTTAAAATACAAATCGGTGAGCTCAGTAACAGATGCACATTTTGGGGAGGGACCAACAGTCCAAAAGTGCTTCCCAAAATTAAATATTAAATCCACTCTGAAGCCAGGCGTGGTGGCACATGCCTGTAATCCCAGCACTCGGGAGGCTGAGGCAGGAGAATCGTTGTGAATTCAAGACCAGCCTGGGCTACAAAGTGAGCTCAAGGTCAGCCTGAACTGCCTAGCGAGACCCTATCTCCAAAAGACAAAAAAATAAATAAATAAGTAAATCCACTCCGAACATAATTTAACCTCCACTTATTTTCCACCATAGCAAACTTCTGTTCTACTGGTAGATAATGTGGGTCTGACTTGATCTGGGAATGTAGGATGAACAGGGCCAATACGAAGTAATGATTCACTTCATAGGCATAAATACTACGAGCAAGCGAGGCATTGTGGCACACATCTGTCATCCCAGCACTGGGGAGGCTGAGGCAGGAAGACCACTGGGAGTTCAAAGCCAACCTGGACTACAAAGTGAGTTCAAGGCCAGCCTGAACTGTAGAATGGGACCCTGTCTCAAAAAGACAAAAATACATACATACATACACACATACATACACACTATGAACATCTTTCACTTTTTTATCAACAAGAAGTGACCCAGAAATAATATATCTAGTGTATGGTACCCACTTATAAATTGTTTTTGAGTCAGGGTCTCACTATATGGAGGCTAGGTTGGCCTTGAACTCACTATGAAGGCCAAGCCAGCCTGAAACTCATGGCAATCCCCTGCTTCAGCCTCCCAAGTGCTAGGAGTGTAGATACACGTCACCATGCTGGCCCCAAATTTTAATACCAGAATTCTTTGCTGTCAGATCGAAGCCAGACGTTTCATGCTCAACAAACAATACTTAAAACAATCAGATGAGCACAGTACGCGATGGATGTAAGAACTCACACTGGAGGACAGCAGCGGGCATCCCACAGTGCTCCTGTCCACATCACACAGGGCCGGGCACTGCCCTTGCGACCTCCACTAGGAAAGAGCCTCCCTGGCTCCCTGAGATACAAGCAGAGCAGTCATGAAAGCGTATTTCAGTGTTTCAAATGTGTACAACCCAACAGTCATTCAAGCACACGCCTTGAGGCCTCGGTTCTCAACCTGGACGCTTCAGGACAAGCTACTGATGCCACTACTCACTGCTTCATCAGAATGGCTGTATATTTTCCCACCAAAAGTAGGGCTATTGCACCATACGCTCATGGTCTCTGCAAAGAAAAGAAATCATGGTCTTGGTTTATATTTCCTTTAAAAATAGGTAATTTTCTACAATTTGCTTTAAGAACCTACACAGTGAAATGTGAAGCTTTCTAAAGAGATCATCTCAATTCTTTTCAGCGCCAACACTATCCCCACAGATACACAAACAAGGTAAAGCAATCGCTTCTGGAATACTACTAGCTACAACCTTTACCAGACTCCTACCACAAAATTTAAATTCACAAGCACTTAGAGCACAAATGTTTCCTGCAGAACTCCTGAACTTATGTCAGGCAAAAAGAAAAAGGGACTAAGACTTTCCAGGGTTCCAAACTGGCTTTCAAACTATGTTTAAGAAAATAAAAAAGATGGAAATAAACAGATTAAATAATCCTTCCGTGTCACAGCGAAACCACTGGTCTCAGTAAACAATATCCCTTCAAGCAGGAACAGACTGAGGTGAGAAAGTACCTTTGCAAAAGCCAGGTACTTTTTTCAGGGCTGAAAGTTTCTGCCTCTGGCAGATAATCTTGACTGATTAAATATTTCTCTGCCTGAAGTACTGAAGTGAGAAAGAAGTGTGTTTAGGGAACAGGTCTCTTGCAGCAGATAAGAAATAAACACTTTTACACTTTTTTTTTTTTTTTTTTTGAGACAGGGTCTTGCTGTATAGTCCAGGCTGGTCCTGAACTCACTACGTAGCCCAGGCTGCCTTGAAACTCACGGCAATCCTCCTGCCTCAGCCTCCCAAGTGCTGGGATAGCAGGCATGCACCACCACACCGAGCTAAAGAACTACTGCAAAGTATGAAATTCCATCAAAGTATACTTGGGAAAATATGTGCAGAATGTAGAAAATGTTATAAAATGAAGTCTATAGTTTAACAAACTGCAAGGAAGCAAAAGCACAGCAGAACCACAGATGAAGAGACTGAAAAAAAAAAAAAAAAAAAAAA